GACTAGGTTAATGGCCCTCTGTGATGAAGTGGCAATCTTCTTAATGTTTTGTATGAATACTCTGTGTGTGCCTCAGTTTCCCCTATGTGTTCCCCAAGTATCTAGGTGGTGGGACAAGCATTTGTGATTGTTGCAGAGACCTCTGGAGGGCAGGTATGACTGCCATCTAGCTCCCTGGGCTCAGACAACGGCCAGACACTCGGTATCCTGACAACTGATGGCCTGGGCTCATCCTCTGCAAGAGCCAGCCGAAGGAGTTGGAGAATAAAGAGAGAGGTGGAGGTCAGGTGACCGGTTTGCCCGAGAAAGAGACAAAGGATGGAGGAGGGGCAACTGGGCATGACTGAGGATGGGCTGCTTAAAGCTGGTCAGTCTCCTGGTTTGGCACTCAGGGGGAGAACCCAGGGCTCTGGGTCTTCCCAAGATGGACTTTGCTGAATCTTTCTACTTCCTGTGCTAACAAGAACTGTTCTACGCTGTGTTCCAGACAACTAATAAACCCTTCTGTTTTACAACGCTGGCTGAGACTCTGTGAAGTTGGGGTGCATGGCCCCTTTGGGGGGCGTGTAAGGCTTCCCCAGGTGTCTTATTCAGGTGGACTCACTGCAGGGAGCTCATGGCATGAAATCGGGGTGCTGAACGCTCCGAGGTCAGACCCAGGAGGTGCTGAAGCCAAGGAGGCTTGCCCTAGTGAGTGTGTCCTGAGGGGTTGTCACACTACAAGAGGGTCCTGTCTGAACTTCATTCAGAGCGGTACCAGAGCACTGAGCCTGTGCACCCCGTGACACCCTCTGACACTCATGAAGGTGCTATGTGCAAGAAAGCCCAGCCCGTCAGTGTGAATGCTGGAAGAAGGGGATAAAACAGGCACAGAAGAAAATTTTATATCTCTCTTTGCTGTTTATATTCTCACAGGGCTGGAGCTAGGAAACAGAAGCAGAGATCCCCAGGTTCAATCTGGATTAGCCCTAAAAGACATTCAGTGCTGACAGATTACTACAACCATGTCACCTTTTGGAACCTGTGATGAGGCGGAGTGGCCTCCCACTGAGACAGAGTGGGAGGGGTCTCACACTGGGCCAGGGTGGGGGGAGCCAAAGCCAGCTCGTCCCGCCCACCAGAAGTCAAGGGGTGGGACAGGAAGTATAAAGGGAGCACTCTGTAGCTGGAGGAGACAGATGCCTCCCGCCTGCTCCCAGAGCTGAAGCCCAAGGGGGACCCTTGCCGTGCTGAGGACTGGCCAGAATAGCGGATGCTGCCGACAGACGAAAATCCCAGAGAGTGGCTGGGGCTGCCGCTGGCTATCTACGCCAGGCTGATGGAGGACCCCCATGGAGGCAGGTACACCCCGAGGGAAGGATTGGAAGTGGCCCTGGGACAGCCGACTCCAGTCCGGCTGCGTTTGCTGCCTGAACCCCAGTCAGCGTGTTGGGGCCGGATCCCTGCTGACCCAGTGGCAGAACCCTCCACCACTGCTAGGGCCTTGGGCTGGAACCTAGTGGAGTAGGGTGGGCCTGGGTCCCCCTACCCCTTCACCCCGGGGTAGCAGTTTCCCTGCCATAGGCCAGGAGGCCTGTGTTTACCAGTCCCGCCCAAGGGCCAGAGCCTCCCGGGACTGCTGATTGCTCAGTCCCACCCGAGACATAGACAGTTGACTGGCTAATTCCCTTGCCACTTAACTTCAAATACAGAGATGTAGTGAGGCAGAGTGGCCTCCCACTGAACTAGAGTGAGAGGGGCCTCCACTAACCCACTATAGAACCATAGACTGTAACTCATTTGTGTATATATGTTGCCTGCTTTAATCTATAAATAACTCTGGTATTTCCGAGTTAATAAATCCTTAGTTGGTTTACTATAAGATTGGCTACAAGGATTATTTTTGGTGTGAGATCTGAGGTACAAATTGACCTGGGGTAAGTGACTGGTCTTTTGTGACTGAAAGCAACTTGAATCTTTTGTGATCTTTGGTGTATGGCAACCAACTATCACTAAATCCAGCTTGCCTGGATGATAAGATAGATTGGAGTCCAGGACCTCCACAGTAGCATTCTCTGGGATGCTTCCGGTTCCACGCACAGGGCCAGTTGGACGGGTGGAGCTGTGGGGTTTCAATGTGTGGATGAGATGATGGTATAGGAAAGAAGGGTTTGGGTTTGTTAAGAACTGGGGAACCTTTTGGGAAAGGAGGAGCTATGTGGGAGGGATGGGCTCCACCTGGACCAACGCAAAACTAGATTGCTGGCATGTAAGGTTGAAAAGGTTGTAGAGATTTCAGGCTAAGGGCTGGGAGAAAGCCGATGGGTTACGGAGGAGCACACAGTTTGGACAGAGGCATCCTTTACGGGAGACTCTATTAACGGGGATTCTCTATATCCTAGTAAGGAGGTGAGGATGGAAGTTGATAAAGTACAGGTAGGAACTGAAGAGAAACAGTCAAATGAAAGACTCCCATTCAATTACATCACATAATGGCAGACAGCTAAAAAGTGACAAATTTTTATAAGTGCTTGTATACAAATGCTAGAAGTCTAAATACTAAGATGGGTGAACTTGAGTGCCTGGTATTAAATGAGGTTATTGATATAATAGGCATCACAGAAACTTGGTGAAATGATAATAAATGGAACACGGTAATACCAGGATACAAAATATGTTGGAATGACAGAGTAGGTCATGCTAGTGAGGGAGTGGCACTATATGTGAAAGAAAGCAGAGTCAAATATAGTAAAAATCTTAAATGAATCAAACTGTACCATAGAATATCTATAGATAGAAATTCCGTGCTTGAATAATAAAAATATAGCAGTAGGAATATACTACCAATCACCTGACAGTGATGGTGATTGTGAAATGCTCAGAGAGATTAGAGAGGCTATAGAAATATAAAATTCAATAGTAATGGGGGATTTCAACTATCCCCATATTGACTGGGTACATGTCACCTCAGGACAGGATGCTGAGTTTAAGTTTCTAGACACCATGAATAACTGCTTCTTGGAGCAGCTAGTCCTGGAACCCACAAGAGGAGAAGCAATTCTTGATTTAGTCCAAAGTGAAGCACAAGATCTGGTCCAGGAGGTGAATATAGCTGAACCACTCGGTAATAGTGACCATAATATAATTAAATGTAACATCCTGGGGGGGCGGGAACAACACCAAAGAAACCCACCACAGTAGCATTTAACTTCAGAAAGGGAAACTACACAAAAATGACGAAGCTAGTTAAATGGAAATTAAAAGGTACAGTCACAAAAATGAAATGTCTGCAAGCTGCATGGGAACTTTTTAAAAACCTCATGATAGATGCTCAAATTAAATGTATATCCCAAATTAAAAAACACAGTAAGGGGACCAACAAAGTGCCACCATGGCTAAACAATAAAATAAAAGAAGCAGTTAGAGTCATAAAGACATCTTTTAAAAATTGGAAGTTAAATTCTACTGAGGAAAATAGAAAGGAGCATAAACTCTGGCAGGTCAACTGTAAAAGTTTAATTAGGCAGTTCAAAAAAGAAATTTAAGAGAAACTAGCCAAAGACTCAAAAACTACCAAATTTTTGAGTACATGCAAAGCAGGAAGCCTGCCAAACAATCAGTGGGGCCACTGGACGATCGAGGTGTTAAAGGAGCACTCAAGGAAGATAAGGCCATTGCAGAGAAGCTAAATCAATTCTTTGCCTCTGGCTTCACTGCAAAGTATGTGAGGGAAGTTGAAAGTCCAGACTCCAAGGTTTTATTCCCAGTTTTGGGAGGAAAAGCTAATTTAGTGGTCAGAAAAGGAGAACATGGAAGTCAGGACCTCTGGGTTATATACTGGGCTCTAGGAGGTGAGTGAGTGGGTGGTTACAATGGGAACAGGAATCACGACACCTGGGTTCTATTCTCATCTTGGCCAGTGACTCAGACAAGTCACTTGGGCCCAGATCTCACAGATATTTAGGTGCTTAATTCCTGGTGGGAGTTATATGCCTCGATACCTTTGAGGATCTGGGCCTTCATCTCTTTCTGTGCCTGTTTCTCCACCCATAAAATGGCAACAATGATACTTACCTTTGTACTACAGACAGAAAGGAAAATTCTATTGTGAAATACACCAGTTTAAACCTGGAGCAACTCCACTGAAGATAATGGGGTTATGTCAGTGTAATTGAGAGAACAGTCTGGTAGGAAACATTGTACACAAGGGATTTTATTATTTTCCTTTGCAGATTTTGCCAAGATTTCCCACATTTATATTACCCACGTTATCGACGTCCTGCATTGCAGATCCCTCCCACAGCTTTTGTTGACTCTGAATCTGGATATATATTAGGATTGTCAAAGGCATTTAAGCAAATTAGGTGCCTAACCCTATGGGAGTTAGGTGCCTAGCTACTTTTGAAATTTGGCTCTCTATTGCCAGTATCCTTCGGTATTTTCCAGTCCTGGGACTTCAGAATGAGGAAAATCCCAAATGCTATGTAAATGTGAAATATTTTTTATTGATATTACACTATTTGTAAAGGGTTTGGGGATCAAAATGACCCCAAAATTCCAGGGCTAAATTTTCAAAACCAGAAGCCTAAATTTTGATTCCTACACCCTGATTTAGCCTCCTAAATAAACTTTCAGAAATGTTGAGTAGGGTTATTCAGCACTTTTGAATATCAGCTCCATTTAGACCCTACCCTACATCAGGATTTCTGGACAGTTCCTCTAAAAACTCCAGCCTAGCTTTTAAAATTTTGACCCAAGATTGCATTCTCTAATACAGACTGAAAAATCTTTTTGAGAGATTTCACAGAAAACCACAGCTTTCCGTCACACAATTTTTCCTAAACCCAGCTCTGTAAAGGTCTGTAGCCACATGGTTTGAAGCCTCAACAGATTAATGTTTCAGCATCTCGCCTTTTTGATTCAAGGAAATGAGACTGACAGGTTTATGCTCTCAGCCAATTGCAAAGCTGCTCTCTTCTCTGTCCCACCTACCACTTCCTCTCATCTTTCTCTCTTTCATTATCACCATGCTTCCTGTACGTATCCTGTTCCTGTACTCCCAGACCAGCGTGCTTGGTAAGTGGCAAGATCTCTAGCTCTGTTTGAATCCTTTGCCATTCTGAGTTTAATTTTTGCCATCCACCCATGTGTTAGGATTAGAATAAATGTAGTTAAACTGTATGTGGTGGAGAAAGGTTTTCCCGTGGATTGAGTTTGGCCTTAGGGTTGAATTCAGAATCCATAGGCCACCCCTTTACGTAGGGCCAAAGGCAGGGGATTAGTGGGAAAGTGGTCTGTTAAAACTGTGCGATCTTCAGCGACACCCCTGAAATCCCCATTGACTTTGCAGTCCCTGGGTGAAACAGACGGCATGATTTGTCCCTGTGTTTTAATAAATTATTATGTGTCTGCAGTGTTCCTCTTCAGGTCTGCATGAAGTCACACATGCTGTAAAATGAGTTCGTTATCTCTCTCCTACTCCTCTCTTCTCCCCGCCCCTGTATGATTTGGTGACTTGTTTCAGGGCACACGGAGTGTGCTGCAGAGCTCGGAAGCTAACGCAGGAGTTCTGACGCTTAATTCTGCCCTTTAATCCAATAGATTCTACTCCCAGCTCTGGAAGGGAGAGCAAAGCCCAGAGATCCACTCCTCCTGTCGTAGGCAAACCATCATAAACAGCAGTAGGTGTTTTATGTACAGATCTGTTATTAAGAGGAAAAACCACGTGGTGGGTGAGCTGGTGAAAGTTAAACAAAGAATGTCCCTGCTGCCGAGGGAGGCTGGGTTAGCACGGTGCCTTTTGCTGTGTGTTCTAGCAGTCTCTTCAGGGGTGTGGAGTGAGCTGGCAGTGGGTTTGACTTAGTGTTCAAAAATGCTGCTGGTGGTAATGGTGAAATTGCCCACGCTGTGTGTGGCCCACGCGTTGGGGGAAAGCGTGGGAGTTGAAGGTGACTCCAGGCCTCAGTTTTGGTTTGGCTATTCTCCCCACTTTATAATTTGCGGCTGGAACTGCATGCTGCACCACTGAAGTAAATAAATGGAAGCTTAATTACAAGAGAAGAAAGTTGAGCGAGCTCTGCTGGCTTTGAAACACAGGGTGGAATTCAGAGGCTGTCCTGAGCCCAGTCTGACTCCAGTGGTAAAACTTCCATCTACTTGTATAGTGCCTTTGCCGAACCCCACGTGCCATCCAGACCCCCTTTAAAAAATGCAGTTTCATGATGGGGGTGGGTGGGCTGGGAGTCAAGACTCCTGGGTTCTACCTCAGCCCTGGGAGGGTAGTGGGGTCTAATGGTGGGTGGACTGGGAGTCAGGACTCCTGACTATTGGCTCTGATGCTGTCCCAGGGGTGACCTTGAGCAAGCCACTTTGCCCTTGCCCCTCTGTACCTCAGTTTCCTCACCTGTAGAATGTGAATAATACTTCATAGGAAGCATGTGAGGCTTGATTCATTCATGATTATAAAACACTCAAAAATCTTTGGATGGGAGTTCCTAGAAAAAGAGCACATTATCAAATATTATTGTTTTTGATCCCTTATTAGCTACTAGTGGTTGGGTACTTCATAACCTGTGAGTGATCCCAGACTGCAACTTTTACCTGATCTGTAGCACCTACTCCTTGCACCTACCACGATAAAGAGAACCAACAACTTTTATGCAGGCCAGAAAGATACCCAAGAGCCCAGTATCTATGAAGCCTCAAAGGATTTCAGATACAGAATGCAAACGCCATAGGCTGCAAGCAGCCGGGCTTTAACAGAAAGGTTCTCTGCCCTGCTCTGGGAGTTGGATCTGCAAATGAAGCAGTGGGATAAAGTCTGGAGGCTCATTCAGGGCAGTAATGGGTTCAATTAAGGATTATTCTAACACAGAAGGTTAGAGCTGCATAGAATGTGTGGCCTAACAGGCCTGTCTTCTTGGGGTTAGTGCAGGATTGTTCCCTACAGTCTGCTTTCTATCACTTTGTTCAGTCTAGTTTTAAAAGTCCCAAAGTAAATCAGGGAGAGCTGAGATTTAAAGCCTTTTGGCTGAGAGGAAGAATGAACCAGCAATTAGGGTGCTAGCCTGGGACTTGAGAGACATGGGCTTAATTTCCTGCTCTACCACAAACTTCTTGTGCGACCTTGTGCAAGTTTTAGTCTCTCTGGGCCAGATTTGTATAGGTACGTGGGCATCTAAAGATACAGATAGATGCACAGTGAGATGTTCAGAAGTGCCTAGGTGCCTAACCCCCACTGATTTCAATCTGCCTCTTTAGGTGCCCACAGACATTTAAAAAAACTGGCCCTCTGCCTCAATTCCACATCTGTAAAATGTGGATAATAGCAATGCCCTACATCACCAGGAAGAAATTGTGAGGTGCTCAGATATTTGATAATGGGAGCTCTGTTTCTGGTGCTGGGAGGAGGTGGAGTTTACTGATTAGAGAAGAGTGAATTGAGATTGACCTTCATTTGGTTCTATTCATGGCTCTGCCTCTCGCTGTGTGACCTTGGGCAAGTGATTTGCCTCAGTTTCCTCAGTTATACAGTGGAGATGATATTGACTTCACAGGGTGGATGAGGCTTAATATTTGTAAAGTACTTGGGCTGGGATTGTTAGAGGAACCTAAGGGGATAAGTATGGTGTATAATTCCCTTAGATTCTCTGAAAGCCTCTGGAGATTTTTGGAAGAAAGGAGCTAGAGAAAGACAAACCCTTATTACTGTATTAATTTTAGAGGGTGTAGCTTCTGCATTATTGGTGACTCCTAAAGTTGGGAACATCCTGCTGTGGAGGCTTTTACAATCCTGTCTCTAGTGTAACCTTTAAACACCAATTTTCTGACATAGCTATGGCAGGGTTGGATGTGGTCTGGTTGCCAGGTTTTGGTCTGTGTATCCTAAACCAATGTTTGTATCTCTTCATTTTAGACTGAAAATGGAATTGATGAGCTGGGAGGAAACAGTTGCTTTGGAGAAATGCTACGTTCCAGATATGAGGCTCAGTGAGCTGGTATGAGATTGGCTTCTTACAGAGGAACGGCGAATCCCTGCCCAGGGGGGTTAAACATTACATAACAGCAAAACTGTCAAAATCTAGGGGCAACTATAATGGGTTAGAACAGGGGGGCTAGGAGTTAGTACTCCTAGGTTCTATTCCCAACTCTGGGGGAGTGTGGACTAGTGGTTAGAGCAAGGGGAATCAAGTCTAGTTGTAGAGAAGGGGGACTGGGAGTCAGGACTTCTGGGTTCTATTTGGCTACCTCTCTTTAAGTGCTTTAGCAAGACCTAAAATTTCCAACCTGGAGAGAGGACTCCAGAGTATTCCTGTTAGGTGGTCTGGCAGGCCTAAGCCTGCCCTGATCTATCTCCCTTCCCCCAAATAGTGCAGGCTGAGGCGTGTCAAACCTTCAGCTTTGGCCTTTGTAATGTAGCAGATGTTTTTCAACTCTGACTTGATTGAAGTATCTGTTACCAGCTGTGTTGACCAATCCAACTTTCAGCTGTGACAATGGAGTGTAGTAGGAGTGACTTGTGGCTTCACATGTCTTGAGGCCTTCAGATTTTAAGTCCTCATTGTCCAGGACTGGTTCATCTCTTCCTCCTGCCACTGCAGATAAATTAATGCTTTTTGTCTGAAGCTGTTCGGTCTTTTGCTTGAGGCCTTAACAAAATTTGAGATCCTGTCTGCTCACTGTGGATGTTAAAAGGGCAATGTGATCTTTTTGTAAGCATCAGGAGGGAGTTTACCCAGATGTCCGCTAAAATATTCCCCTACCTTCTCCTGTTGCACTTTGCTCTCGCTGCCTCCCTCCACCCCAGAAGTGACTTCCTTTTACTCCTGCTGTCTTCCCCTCCATGTATAGTGTTCTCTCTTTCTGCCTAGCTATGCTCTGGTAGAACTGGGCTGTGGTGTGCTGGGAATTAGGTTTAGATGAGTCCAGTGGCAACTCTGATCTCTGGTGTAGCTGCAACAGTAGGGGAGAGGAAGAGGCTGTGTTGGTCACACTCTAGTCTTATGAATGTTTCTTTGCCTGTTTCAAATTGTGGAGAGGCTGGAGGATGAAGACTGACTCCCCACCCCCATGAAATGATCGGGGCTGAAGTGGAAAAATGAAGTACTGTAACTGAATCTTGAAAATGGTCTGTAATGAAACATCCTGGACCTGAGCCCCAAGGACAGTAGGGTAAGGGCCTCCAACTGAGTAGAGCCTTAAAGGAAAGGGACTGAGTGGTTTTATGGGCTACCTGAGCTGAGATGAAGATAATCAGCTCCTGTGCTTTCAGGGCTTGCTCTGATCTGTTAGGAAGTTGCCAGGGATGTGTTGCTAGAGGCAGGATGCTTGACTTGATGGGCCCATCCACTGTTTTATTATTAGTTGTATTACACTGTAGCCTTGAGGCCCTACTGTGCTAGGGTTTGTACAGACACTTCATTAGAGGCCATCCCTGTCCCAAAGATTTTTGTTGACTTTGTCTACTTAGGTTATAAAGGATGGAAAACAGGAAGTAGCAGCATTGCAGATGGGGAACCGAGGTACAGAGAGCTGAAGCCTGAGATTTTCAAAGGAGCCCAGTGGAGTTAGGTACCCAAATCTGAGATTTAAAAGGATTTGCTTGAGGTCACCCAGGGAGTCTGTGGCAGAGCTGAGAACTGATCCCAGATGTCCCAGTCCAGAACCGTAACCACACAACTGTCCCTGTGCTTGAGGCACTTTTTAATCCTTCACTTTCCATGGCAAGACCTATGTTCCTGTGTCTCAGACTCCAGAAATATTAGGGATAAGATCCTCGCTCTTGTGGCACAATGAGCGCTCCTTGGACAGACACTTGGTATTGGGGGAAGTGTGCTACTGTATGAGACAGCCCATAATTGGATGCATGGGGACTATCTTGAGGCTTGGTGTGGAGGGGAGACCCAGCCTACAAGAAGTTTCTTCCCAGACCAGGAGACCCCTCTGGTCTTTGCCATTGGTGATGTCGCAGCTGGGTTTGAGGGTGTGGGTGGGGTCTGCCATGATGAACTGTATGTTCAGACCATCTTTCACCTGATCCACCCTGATGCCACATGTGCCCTGAGCAGACCCCACTACATCAAAGAAGGAGAGAAGCATTAATTCCCTGTGTGGCTTCCATTTCAGGCCTGCAGTGAAATCTGGGCATTTCCCATAGTAGATGGGGTCAAGGTTTAAGGCCAGGAGGGACCATTATGGCCATCTAGTCTGACTTCCTGCATTGTGCGGGGCATAGAACGTCACCTAGTAATCCCCACTATGACTCCCTGACTCCTTCCCCTTTCTAAAACTCAGCCGTTCTCCCCGCATGGTCCTTTAAAATAGTTCCCTGCACTAGCTCTCGCCTCACAGTGTCTCCAGGTAACTTCACTGTGCCATTTCCTCATCTGTAACTGCTGTGCCCTTAGCAGCTGCTCGTATGGCCGTATTGAAAAGCCAGATCTTCGTAGGCCAGATGGAACCATTAGATTGCCTAGTCTGATCTCCAGTTTAATACCGACCAGAGAATTCAGTCTGGATTGGAAGACAGCAAGGAATGGAGAATCCACCATCCCTTGGGAGTTTGTTCAATCACCCTCACTGTTAGAAACGTGTGCGTTATTTCTAATTTGAACGTGCCTGGCTTTAACTTCCAGCCATTGGTTCTTGTTCTGCCTTTCTCCACTAGATTAAAGAGACCTATAGGACCCTGTGTTTTCTCCCCATGAAGGTACTTGTACACTGTAATCAGGTCACCTCTCTCAAGCTTCCTTTTCTTGATTTAAACTAAACAGATTGAACTTCTTAAGTCTCTCACTATCAGGCATTTTCTCCAGCCCTTGAATCACTTTTATGGTTCATTTCTGAACCCTCTCCATTTTTTTCAATATCCTTTTTAAAATCTGGACACCAGAACTGGATGTGGTATTCCAGTATCAGACTCACCAGTGCCATATACAGGGGTAAAATCACCTCCCTGCTTCTACTGGCTACTCCCATGTTTATGCATGCAGGGATTTTATCTGTCTTGCAGGGGAAGTTGGGAAGCCAGGGAGTCCATGTTGCAATGTGAGGAAGTTGGGTGAGGAAGCAGCTAAAATTCTCAACCACTTGAGGTCTCAGAGTCCTGGGTGGTGGTTTGTGTGTGGGAGGGGCAACCACATTGCCACTTTTAGGACTAGGAGGGGTCTGCTGTGATGAACCGCATGTTCAGTCCGTGTTTCACCTGATCTACCCTGATTACACACATGCCCTGAGCAGACTAATGAAACAAACACCTGCAGCTGAAGTCTGATTTGGGGGAAAACTGATGTTCTAATGGTTTCCAAGGCAACCATATGTAAAGTCCCAGACAGTGAGGGGAATAAGTAGCAGATTCAGGGGACCTCTTCAGAAACATGGATCCGGTTTCTGTGCAAATGAAGGAGGGACAGAGATACAAGGAAATGAGTTTTCCCTGTAGCTGGTAGCGTGCTCTTTTTAATTTAAAAAAAAAAAAAGTCATTACCTGGAAATAATTCCTCTTTGCTTCTGTAGGTGCAAGAACTCTGAAGACAAGATTGGCTCGTTTCGCTTCTCCCTCACCCTGGATCCCTTATAGGAATCACAGATGTAACTGCTGCAGGAAGTTCGTATCCATCCAGTTTCTTAGTGTGGTCCCAAATTAGTACCCGCAGCCAATGTCACCATCGGGGGAGGTATGGGACAAAAATAGGGTACTATGGCAGACATAGTTTGCCAGCAGTTAACAAATGTCTGGCATAAGGTACATCATGCATTCCTCATTCAGTGACAAACAGTCTCTGAACTGA